TATGTAACCCAATGGTTAATAATAAATAATATATTCTGATATCGTAATTTGGTTGATATCGGCCAATACTCAAGGCTTCAATATTGTATCGGAAGTGAAAATTTTGTATCAGGACACCACTACAAAATTGTTTTTAATGACCTTTTACAGTGTTTTCATCTGCCACTGACAAAGGCAGAGCGGTAATGGTTTTATCTATGTCTGTGTGTTTGTGCTATTTGCAAAATATGATTTACTACTGAATGAATTTTAATGAAACTTTCTGAAAGTAATCAGTGGACGTACATCTACAACTGATTCAAGAAGTCGGACCCAGGCAACTGACTTTACAAAACAGAAAATTGGCTAAAATCTACCATTCAGACAGTGTTCCAGTTATTGAGGTAAAGTTTGATGTGAYAGTACCTGACCCATACTTTGGGGGACTCACATTTTGTGATACCTTTGCTTGACACTCTGGCCTTACGGTTGACGCTAAGTCTTGATTCACTGAATAAATTTAATTAAACATTCAGAAAGCACTTATTTGGTTKACCATTACAAATGATTAACATTTGGGGTCAGTACGATTCAAGATGGCTATATAGCATCTTGGCAAGCGAAAATTGGGTCCGTGCTACTAGGGGTGTAACAATACATTTATACATATTGATTAAATGGTTAATGATTCAGTTATCAAAACAAAATGAAAACATCCATTCATATCATCACATGCTCATTGTGGATTGATTAATGCCCATCCAACACAATCATTTAATGCTTGTGTTAGACGGGCAGATCATATATCATCATATTGATCTCAGATTTGTGAATTAAACTAATTTTTATAGTATTAATTCATTTCATTAAAAAACAAAACATTACATACAAAAAAACAATACAAATAAAAGAAAATGAAAGGCAGGAGAAGAAGAAAAATAAATCGTATTGTGACAAACTTTGTGATATTGAGAAACATCGGATTGTCATCCAGACAAATCAATAAAATATTGTATTGTGACGAGGTTTTACACCCCCTAGTGTTACAGAAATGAAGCTAAAATTTGGTGTGCTAGTAGCTGAAAGTCGTTCACAACACATAGCTTAAGTTCTAACAGATAATAAAAAATTGCAGTGTTGCATATTATTTTTAAAGTTGGACCAACACATAGC